CCGGGCGACCCCGAGGCGGCTGAACTGCTGGAGGAGGCGCGGGGAAGGCTTTGCTCTTGCTCCAGAAAGGAACTGCCGGGGCGTTCCCGGCCGGCTCCAAGGATTCGTGACTGTCAAAGACTGTTCATTCTTCAGGGAAGGTGTTAGAAGTATCGGTTTAGGGCTGCAGGATGCAATCCTCCGATTGAAGGGACCGAATTTTCAGCCCCCTCCTGCTTATTCTTGACACCATAATGCTCAGCCTGCTCCCGGATCGCAAGAGCTGGCCTTGCCTGGGTCTCAGACCTAAGATTTAAAGATTGCATTTCATCTATTTATCTATTTGTTACAATTATTTATAATCCTTTTTGCAACCACTGGCACACATAAAGCAAGTTCTGCCTTCCTCATTGAAAGGTGAGGTGCGTAACCATTACGATGCTGGTAGACAGAGCTGGGCACTTGGAAGGCCCAAATTCGATATCGAGGGCAACAGGATGGCGAGGAAAACTGGCCCTCCGGCCCTGTCTTCCCTGCAGCCTCCTGGAACATCCTCAGGCTCTGATTCCATCTTTCTGCTCCGGATGATCCCCATGCATGAACAAAACATCCCTGCAGCATCTCTTCTTAAACAGGAATAAACCCCGCATTTTTCCTCCCCTTAAGCTAACCTTGTGCCACTGCAGTTTGAGGGTGTGAAGGGGCAGGTCTAGTATTGGCTGAAACCGGAAGTAAGTAAAGAGTGATGGGCTGAAACAAAACGAAAAGGGATTCAGACTGTACCAAGGGAGAATTTCCTGAAGGTAAGGATTGCTAGGCAGCAGAAGAATCTCCCTGGAACCAGGGTGGACTCTGCTGGAGTTTTTCCAACAGGGCCAGGATGGTTTAGTGGATTTTCTTCTAAGTTAAATACTTGGTGAGTCCATGAAACTTTCCCCATTTGTGCTTCGGTGCCCGACTGGTGGATGTATGCCCTGCTGGCGAGTGACAGGCAGAAGGGAGAGGCAGCCAAACCAGAATGGAACCTCCCCCTGCACTTGCCCTGTCTGAGAGATGTACCATTCAGCCCCCACCCCCCACCAGCAGTCCTTGGAACAGGTGCAGTGCTGCTGGGAATAGGGACTGGATATGGGGGCAGCCCATTTTATGCCCTTTGTTTTGTGTTGGCTCAAGGGGAAAGCCTCACCCCCAAGGATTATTCCAGCAAGTCTTTATTTGTATGTAGCAACACCTGAGTCCCTAGGAAATGATGTGTTTTAATAAGGATAAAAGCAAAGTCCTTCATTTGGGTAGGAAAAATCAAAGGCAGGTGTATAGGAAGTGTTTGTGTCGGGTGGGGGGGAACCCTACTAGGCAGCACTACATGGGCATGGATGGGGAGCACTTTCCCATTGCGCAACTTGAGGGTCCTCCTGGACTCGCCACTGCAAACAGTAATGGGCACTTCTCATTATGCCCATGGGTCATCACTGCTGTGCAAGCTGCATTGGCTGCCAGTTGGCTTCTGGGTACAATTCAAAGTGCTGCTTGTCCCCTATGAAGTCCTTGATGGCATAGGGTCTGGTTATCTGTGGGGTCACCTGTCTCCAGTTATTATGGCTTGCCTGGTACACTCGAGCAGAGTGGATGTGCCTCAGATCCCCTCAATTAAACCTTGTCTTCTTGTGCCTTCCCCGTTGCAGCCCCTCTGGAACAGCCCCAGAGATATGGACAGTAGCCTCTCTCTTGGGGTCTGGAAGGCCATTAAGACGGAGCTCTGTTCCCTGGCCTGGGGCTGGTGGAGCCCCTGTTTTTACTGTTATGGCTGTTTTTGTCTGGGCTGTTTTTTTTAATGGTTTTAATTCTATATTTGATATGTTGTAGGCCACCCAGAGCTTGGGAGTAGGTGGCTATAATAAAGCTGCTGCTGCTGCTGCTGCTGCTGCTGCTGCTGCTGCTGCT